TTTCTGGATTGGGTCGGTGGATATTTGTTGAGTTATTTAATATCAAAGTCTGTTTTTTTTTTGTTTTTTTTTTTGTTAAAATTGAATATATATATATAAGTAATTTATCGAGTCCGAAAAGAAACCTCAACAGAATGCAGAAAGCACTGGACGGCCGTTTCGTACTATACTTATATATATATATATATATATATATATATATATATATATATACATCCACTACCGAGTACTGAAAGCCTGAGAGATTATCATGCAAATGTCATACCATCTGTTCCAAAGGTTCCTCGCTGACGAAGAGGGTAGCAAATCAGACTCAATATAGCACCGCTCGCTCACATCAGCTGAGTTTCTCTAAATCAAGTGAGTTAGAGAAACTCAGTTGATTTCCGCCACGGAATATGTGAGCGAGCGGCCCTTTATTGAGTCTGATGTAGAGGAGGCACGGTGGATTAATGGATAGCGGCTTGGATTGAGGAATCGAAGAGCCGAGTTCGAATTCCAGTCGAATCCATTGCATTCACTTACGTGCTAACACCCTTGGGAAAGGTGTGAATCCTCTTTCTTCTCCCTCCAGCTATGGGTAAATAGCAGGACAGACTGGGTTCTATAGCCTTGGATGGCAACTGGTCTAGGAGCAGGAAAACTCTCAATTCAAACCTGCTCTTAGATGAGGGTGAATGGAGTCTCTCTGAGCTTTGGTTGGCAATCCATTTAGTGTTGGTGTCACGATAAAAACACCCTTGATAGCCCCAGCGAAGTATCAAGAATTCAGCTATTTGGCAAGATTATGAACTACACCAATCAAAGTATTAGTGAGTTCAATCTCGGCTGAGGCCGCATGATGATGATGGGCAAATAGCAGGACAGACTGGGTTCTATAGCCTTGGATAGCAACTGGTCTAGGAGAAGGAAAACTGAATTCAAAACCTGCTCTTAGATGAGGGTGAATGGAGTCTCTCTCAGCCTTGGTTGGCAATCCATTTAGTGTTGGTGTCACGATAAAAACACCCTTGATAGCCCTAGCGAAGCATCAAGAATTCAGCTATTTGGCAAGATTATGAACTACACCAATCAAAGTATTAGTGAGTTCAATCTCGGCTGAGGCCGCATGATGATGATGGGTAAATAGCAGGACAGACTGGGTTCTATAGCCTTGGATGGCAACTGGTCTAGGAGAAGGAAAACTGAATTCAAAACCTGCTCTTAGATGAGGGTGAATGGAGTCTCTCTCAGCCTTGGTTGGCAATCCATTTAGTGTTGGTGTCACGATAAAAACACCCTTGATAGCCCTAGCGAAGCATCAAGAATTCAGCTATTTGACAAGATTATGAACTACACCAATCAAAGTATTGGTGAGTTCAATCTCGGCTGAGGCCGCAAGATGATGATTGAGTCTGATTTGTTACCTCTTCGTCCCCGAGGCCCGTTGGAACCGTTGGTATGACGTTTGCATGATAACCTAACCGTCAGGGTTTCGATAACCTGTCAGGGTTTCAATCCTCGGTAGTGGATGCGCACTGCTGATGAGTCCCAAATATAGGACGAAATGGCCGTCCAGTGCTTTCTGCAATCTGTTGAAGTTTCTTTCAGACTCGATGAATTACTTAATTATAATTATCAAAACCTCCTAATAATTTCTATCACTTATATATATATATATATATATATATATATATATATATATATATATATATACACTGATTTGTATACGTGTTTCTACTAGATTCTATAGATAAACCCTTGTGGTATTTATACTTGAGTCTATATGCAAACATGTGCCATGATTTATACATGAAATAAGCATTGGTTGAATTTAATCATGGATATACCAACCAATAACTTTACTTACCTATGAGTAAACATTGATCGCGTTTCTATTATATTTCATTTTGCCTTGATACAATCGGGGTATTCTAGATTCCGTTCGATTCTAAGCTCTAGGTATATTATAAACGCCAGTCTATTCTAGGCTCTTGTGTATTCTTAGCCTTAGGTTTACTCTATGTTCCGGCGTAATCAAGGGTTTAGGTATATTCTAAACCTCATTGTATTTTAGAGTCTAAGCGTATTCTAGTTTCCAGTGTATTCCCGGCTCTAGATATATTCAAATTTTGAAGTTTATTCTAGGTTCTAGATGTATTCTAAGCACTATGTGTTTTACGTGCCGGTGTATTAGAGGATTTAGTGTATTCAGACTCTAGCTGTATTTTAGGCTTCGATGATCGTATGATCTATGATTAATGTATTCAAGAATCAAGGTGGATTCTAGGCACTAGATTTATTCTAGATTCCGATGTATTCTGGACTCTAGAAGTTTTCTAGACACCGGTGTACCATCGGTGTATTCAAAGTTCTAGGTTTATTCTTGATTCTAGTTGTATTCTAGACTCTAGATGTATTATAGATGCCGCTGTATTCTAGGATATAATGTATTTAAAGCTTTAGGTGTATTCTAAGCTCCAGTGTATTCTATGTTCTATGTGTATTCTAGATGCCGGTGTATTCTAGGATGTAGGGTATTCAACGCTCTAGTTGTATTTTAGGCTTCGGTATATTCTAGGCTAGTACGAAATTCACAAGTCATCGTGGCCGAATGTTTAAGCGTTCCGGCCTTGTTCAGATTGTTGATCACGCTAGATAACATGCTCTTTCCCAGAAAATATAACTAAGGTCTGCTCAGGCGTATGCTATTCTCTAGTGTATTCAAGGTAATACTTATATTCTAAGCTCAAGATGCTTTTCATACTTCCTACTTTCATACTTTTATATTTCATGCTGTGCCCTAGTTTAAGGTGAATTCTAGTCTCCAATGCATTTTAAGCTCTAATATATTCAACGTTCAGGGTGGAGTAATGTATAGCGGCTCCGACTGAGGAGAGCAGAGTTCGAATTCCAGTCAAATCCATTATATTCATTTACGTGCTATTACCCTTGGGAAAGGCATGAATCCTCCTCTTCTCCTCCCAGCTATAGATAAAAAGCAGGACATACCAAGTTCTATAGCCTTGGATAGAAACTGGTCTACCGCAGAAGAAATGGCAACCTAATGCGGGAAAAAAGCCTGCCTCGTCTGTCATGTATCTAAATATACATGATCGCCTAAGCGTGTATCATGCATGTCACTTAACTGAAATTCATTAACGTGCTAAAACCCTTGGGATAGGTATGAACCCTCCTCTTCTCCCTCCCCCCAGCTATGGGTAAATTGCAGGACAGACCGGGATCTATAGCCTTGGATGGCAATTGGTCTACCGCAGAAAGAAATGGCAACCTACTGTGGGAAAAATCTACCTCGTCAGTCATGTATCGAAAGGTACATGGTCGCCTATGCATTCAGAATCTGGTTAATGTTCACTCTAGTCTCTAATCTCTATCTTTATGTGTGTTTGTGTATGTGTGTTTACGTGTGTGTGTGTGTATGTTTTTCCTATGTTCAGTTGAGCGTGTATGTGGTTATGCATGCATGTGTTTTAGTTTTTAATAATGGATTTACGGCGTAGCTTAACGCTTTTCATTACGAAAACGCAATCGCGGAAATGAAACTTATTGAAAAGGCATGAATTCACATTCCCTTGCCCCTCGTCCAATCACCAGATATCTGACGATAGAGCAGCATCAACGAAGAAAAAGCGTGGGTTCATGAGTACTAGCGTATAACAGTATCCCGTCACGCCTTTAAACTCCAGAGAGACGTGACAGTAAAACAGATTGCATCCATTGTCAGCCTTGACAGGAGCAAGTCATAACTAAAACCAGGGACCCTCAAAGAACATGTGCTGGCGTATTTTGTCTTAATGTGCCGGCAAGCACATGTCTGTGTCCTGGAGAGAGATTTCGTAGCCAAACCGTCAGAATGTTCTTGACATTAAAGAGCACTTAGAGATCGACTTAGCGGAAATCCATTTCAAATTACGGTTCTCTGAGAAAGTCTTAAAAGGTGCCGAGGATTCTCTTGAATGCCGATTGGTCGTTGCAAGGCTAGAAACTCAAAGAGTGCATCTTCTGAAAGTACTTGTGTTCTTTAAAAGACTTGGATCACAAATGAAAATCCAACTTAAAAGATCGGCTTAGTTTGCTTTTTCAATGGACGGAAGCACGGTCACGGGAATGTCAAAGATCAAGCATTCGTTCAAGTCTCTTTGCAAATTCTATCCAGGAAGTGAGCAGAAATGGATGAGATTAATACTTGCTATCAGACATAGGCTAACCAAAATCTGAATCTACGAAAATAGACGCTTTGATTTTTCGTCAGTGTTGTTTGTTTCAGCATAACTAACGTTGTGGCTGCTTTAACTCTTTCGAGACTAAAATAATCTGGCACGTGTCTACGGAAATAAAGTTGTCTGAAATGTCCAAATAAGGCATGAAACAGATTTTAAACTGCGTCTTTCTCTATACACGTTCATATAAAAAAAACTACCACAAATTCATGACGAACGCTTATCGACAATCATTTCCTGAACTTGACGAGCTAATAAATTTGATATCAAGAATTTTAGAAAAAAAATTATATAAGGAACCATCGTTATATAGGCAAAATTAAAAACAGTAAGCAGAAGTTTAATTATAAACAGGATTAAGAAACGCATAAAAATATAAGTTGCCGTTACATATCGCAATACGAGGCATCCGTTTGTCTGGCGCGATAAAGGTAGGGTCCTGCTTGAGCAAAGTTCAATTCTTTTAGTGGTGAAACTGGAATGACCTCTCCAGGGTACAGGCCTGGACGATGGCCTATGGAAACCGTGCTGCCCAAACTACATCCCCTTTTCCCAGCAGTACTGACAAGATCGAAAGGAATGCAGAACATTACATTTGGGGGCGGCTTGGTAACAGGAAAGTTGTCAGTACTTACTTTGCAGTGTTTGGATATGACTGCAAGACAGTGGAGTTTTAACACCGGGGTTTTCCTTCGCCTAGGTGGAATGCCTTCAAGAGCTACGTGGACTCCATCTATGGTGTTTTTATATCGCAATGTAAACGTTGCATTCAGCATCTTG